AAAAAAAACTTAATAAATATTATAAAGATAATTTTATTTGTGGATTTGATTAACAAGTAGTAACATTAACACCATGTAATATTGTTTTGTCGATATTTATAATAATATTTTTAAATTATAATTTATAATTTAACTTAATAATTATAAAAAAATATATAACTTTTAAAAAAGTGGGCTGGCCCGGCAAGCCTGTAGCCCACGTACTTGTGGATTGGGCCGACCGTTTTCTGGCCCACACAAAAAATGAGCTAGTCTGGCCTGACCCGTAAAATGTCAAAGCCTGTATGGGTTAGCCCATATTGACAGCTCTAGACAAACCACCTAAATTTGTGTTTGAAAAAAACAGAAGTATTTAAATAAAAATTGAGGACAAAAACTTTTTTTTACGACAAAAAAAACTATTGGCATTGACAAACTATTTTTTATTTCTTTTAAACAATCTTAATTTTCTTAAGAGAGAGATTCTTTAATTAGTTTTATAATCTATTAAAAAGATCCTTATGATTTTTATGGTGTTATTACAATCACACGTGTCTGATAACGTGTGCTTCAACTGCTCTTTGAATTTGATGATCTTATTATGATCTTTTGAGTTTCAATTCACTAATTATTACAAGGTTATGACAATTTAACAAATAGAAAAAACTCACACAATAAATTATTTTTAAAAATTGTAGCAGCGTAAGATAAACAAGATTTGGAGTCTTTGAAATGATTTCTTAAAAAAATCTGAAACAAAGAATAACATAAAAAACTAATCTAAATAAATGGACATTTCTCCAACAATAAAGAAACTGATTTTTGATAATTCAAAATATTGACATCCTGTATTTTCTTAAAAAGAATAATTTACAAAAAAATTCAAATTAATTTATTTGAAAGAAACACGAGGAATCATTACGATTATGTCCGTTGATCATAGATTGATGAAATTATTATTTTAAAATAAATTTATAAAAATATCATTCAATTGTAAGAATTATATAGTACTAAAATATCAAATTTTTAAAAAATTAAAAATAAAATTTAAAATGTTGAATAGCATGTCACAATTTGACATTCAAGTGATTATAACTTCTTAGCTTTATATTTGACATTATCATAATACTGGGACTTTTTAAATTACATTTTATTTTAATATAACGGTTAAATTTTCTTATATCTTTATCGTGCTAATTATAAGAATATAATAAAAATTGTGTGACTTATTTATGATTTTGAATATGAATAATTTTAAAAATAATTAAATTAAATAATACTATAAATTATGATTATCAATTCAAACAATGAACTAAATTTATAGTATAATGATTTATTTTCATAAGTATTCTATTTTAACATGTGAGGGTGTTAAATGCTAACAATCTCTAATGTAAGCTTTACATTTTATAGTAAGTTGAATTTAGAAATTGTCATTAAATTAATATATACAATTATAATTATAAACTAACAGCGCAACGCGCAAACGTAAATACTACTCCCTCTGTCTCAATTTATGTGATTTACTTTCCTTTTTAGTCAGTTCAAAAAAGAATAACACATTTCTATATTAAGTAACAATTTAACTATAAAATGTTTATTTTACCCTTAATGAAATGATTTACAGCCACACAAATTTCAATAATTCATTTTGGACCACAAGTTTTAAAAGTCATCATCTCTTTCTTAAACTTCATGCTGAGTCAAACTATCTCATATAAAATGGAACGGAGGGAGTAGTATCTTTAAACGTCCATGTCTCAATTTATATGACTCACTTTTCTTTTTAATCACTCTAAAAAAGAATGACACATTTTTCTATTAAGTAATAATTTAACATTAAATGTCTATTTTACCCTTAATACAATGATTTATAATTAGACAAATATCTAAACATATTTTAGACTACAAATTTTAAAAATCTTTCTTTCTTAAACTCTGTCCCAAGTTAAATTAATTAATATAAAATAGAACGGAGAGGGAAATTAAGTGCTCCAAAAGAGCTAGTAATTGTTTATATGCAAGTTTCATAACACTATCAATATCCAAATAATATTTAATTGTGGTAAATAAATTAAAGTCTCTCAAAAGAGCTTATATATGAAAAATGATAACCCCATTTATGGTAAGATGGTAATTTACAAAATTGTCACCATTGAAACTCATGTAGTAAAACTGAAGTTTACTGACAAAAATAATGATCATCACTGGCTTACAAGCAACAACCCCTATTAGAGATCACCTTGGGAACTGGGTGATTGGTTTGACGTATTACTGGCAAAATAAGCTCATATTTTGATAATTCATTCAATTTATTTATATTTTAATGAATTGGATGAGTGACTTTTTATATAGGTAAAATATGGATAAATTATGGGTAAAATATAAATTAGCCAAATGAGTTAAGTTTCCAACTTTTATTCACTCAAAATTTATGATATCACTAAAAAATATTGTAATTTCTCTTCATTTTTATAAAAAAAAACTAATTATTCTTCTCTATAATTGAAAGGGTGAAGTCTTTGGCCCTCCAAAAGTATATATTAAATGTGCATTTCTTTTGTCAATTATAATTATATTTTTATTTGCTAATTTTATATCGGATAACAAATAATAGCGTAAAATAACCAAATCATGCATTAGCATTGACATTGCTTAAAGTGCTTTAAGCATATTTTTCTCCTAAAATGCAAATATTTTCAACATTTTCTTCATGTTGAATTCTTAAGAAGAGTACTATTTACTCATGAAAATATGGATAAATATGGGTAAACTTGTATTTTACTGAACCCATTTGTTACCCAATCCATTTTTACCCGTATCAAATATGGACGGATTGAATTATTACCCATTTTATGTTGATTTATTTTCAATCCGCCCAAATTTGACCCAACCGCCCATTTGCCACCACTAGTTTTATGGAACATACTCCCAAACAACCCCTATTAGAGCTGAATTACAAGCAATGCAGAGAGGTCTACCACTGGCCGTAGAGAAGAATCTTAAACCACTTGAGATTAGCTCTGACTCTAACGAGGCTATTAACTTGATTAATAATAACAATCTGCTCTATGATGATATAATTGCTAAATGCAGGTACTTGATGAGGAAGCAGGGAGCAACAAAGCTGACGCACATATTCCGAGAGCAGAATAGGGTGACAGATATATATACTATCCAAACAAGGGGCGAAGGAACAAATTTTTGGCATGCCCACCATTTTGACAGTTCTTCCGATATTTGCCCAACAAGAAGTGGATGCAGATGGATTAGGAACTAGTTATGCTAGGAGTAGTAGCAATAAAAACACTTTTCTTATTTTTGAGTTATTCTACCTATTTAGAATGCCTTAAAAGATTAGATAGAAAGAATTGACTAATAATATTGTGAGTTTTTTTTTGTCTAATTAGCGAGAATGGCTCTTGATCATTGACAAGGTCAACTTCTCTTTCTAAATCTGTTTTCAGACAACATTGTGTCTGGCACAAATGTTTGTCAAATTACACCATCTACCTTAATCCCAACAAAAAACACATGAACATGACACACCTTCCAAGAAAAATATCAGGGAAATTCTGTCTCTCTCTGGAGAGCGGCTCATTGTTTCTCCACAAAAAATGGCCGCTGTCCTCTTCCAGCTCCACCACCTTATTTTCTTATTTGTTTTTTTCCTATCTCATCCAACTCCTTGTGTTTCCATTGGAGATGATCAAGTCCTTCTTGAATTTAAAGAATTGTTATTAAATACCTCACTTCTTGATTCTTCTTGGAAAAAAGGAACAAATCCTTGTGATAATAATAACAAATGGTTTGGTGTACAATGTGATAATAAAAATGTTATTCAAGCCCTACTTCTTGGTGGGGTTGGCCTTTCAGGGAATCTTGATGTTGATGTACTAATTAGCCTTCAAGGCCTTAGAGTTGTTAATCTTGCAAACAACTCTTTCTCAGGAACAATTCCTGATTTTTTTAGGCTTGGTGCTCTCAAGTCTTTATTCATTAATGGAAACCAGTTTTCCGGAGACATCCCTGGAGATTTCTTCTCCAAAATGGGATCTCTCAGGAAAATATGGTTTTCGCGGAACAAGTTTTCAGGGAAAATCCCTGATTCTTTAGCAGGTTTAAAATATCTTTTAGAACTCCATTTGGAGAATAATGAATTCACAGGACCTATTCCAATTTTGTCACAGGCTAATCTAGCAACTATAAACTTCTCAAACAATAAATTACAAGGTTTAATTCCGCAAAGTTTGTCTAAGTTTGGTTCGAACCCCTTTCAAGGAAATCCTGATTTGTGTGGAAATCAAATAGGGAGGGAGTGTAAGGCTGTAGCCTCTGGTGAAAAGTCTGAAGGTTCTGGAAGTACAAAATGGATAATTATAGGCTTAGTGGTTGTTTTGCTATTGGTGGCTATATTATTTAAGTCAAAGCGTAAGGATGATCAATTTGAAAAGCTTGAAAAAGAGAGCCTTGATGAGGCTGTGAAGGTGCACCTTAACAAGAGAAGCATGAGCACGCGCACCTCTATGCGTTCATCAAGGAAAGGACGCTCAAGAAGTGGCAGCGATATGGGTGATCTAGTTGTGGTAAATGATGAAAAGGGTATATTTGGGATGCCTGATTTGATGAAGGCAGCAGCTGAAGTCCTTGGTAATGGAGGATTGGGGTCAGCTTACAAGGCGGTATTGGGGAATGGAGTGTCCGTCGTGGTGAAGAGGTTGAGGGAAACCAATAAATTTAACAAGGAAAGTTTTGATGCAGAGATCAGACGACTCGCTAGGATAAGGCACAGGAACATATTGCAACCATTAGCATACCATTACAGGAAAGAGGAGAAGTTGGTGGTGTCTGAATACATTCCCAAAGGCAGCCTGTTATACCTATTACATGGTATCGATATTTCTTCTTTGCCTCTCATGTCTCATCTTCAATGGTAAAAGAGTCCATGAAAACAGCCTATATATTATTGTGTACAACTTAATGCTAGCTTCTATTTCATGTGCATAAGTAGAGACTATCTCATTATGGGATATCATTTACGTTTATCAAATGGTCTGTTAATCATTCCCTTGAAATGACTCTTTTAAAGTTTTGGGATTACATAATTCATAAAAATGATCTTAGATAGCCCGAAACATTTCCATTCTTGTAATTGAGGTAATATTCACATTATGTATTTAGCATGCCAATTTGGGATCTGCTTCTATCAATATTATAAACTCTTTTTATCCAAAATTTTCAGGTGATCGGGGGATAGCACATGCTCAGCTAAATTGGACTATTCGCGTTAAAATCATCCTGGGAGTTGCCAGTGGAATGAAATTTCTTCATTCAGAGTTTGCATCATATGATGTACCTCATGGGAACCTTAAGTCTAGCAACATTCTTCTTTCTGCAAATAATGAACCACTTCTCACAGATTATGCGTTTTATCCACTACTCAACGATTCACAAGCTGTCCAATCTCTTTTTGCTTATAAATCCCCAGAAGCCATACTAAACCAACAAGTCACTCCAAAAAGTGATGTATATTGTCTTGGAATCATAATACTTGAAATCCTAACTGGGAAATTCCCATCACAATATCTCAGCAACCAAAAGTGTGGAACTGACGTTGCACAATGGGCGTGGTCAGCAATTGAAGAGAATAGAGTATCAGAATTGATTGCTCCAGAGATAGAAACAGAAAAGGATTCCCTTGAAATGATGGAGAAGTTCCTTCATATAGGAGCTGCATGCACTGAGAGTGATCATGATAATAGAATCGACATGAAGGAAGCCATAAGGAGGATAGAAGAGATAACAAATTTAATGTAGTAATTGGTTAGATGATCAGGAGGTTTCAATTTATTTTAGGGAGGAGGGAAAAAAAGGTACATAAACCTGTTTGAGTTCTCCAACTAATGATCCACGCACGAGCTCTTCCCAGTAGAATGTGGGCATTTTACGTTCCCTGAGATGAATGCTGTTTTCATTTGATTTGACTTGCCTGTATCGAACTGGTGTGACATGGGCGTGGATACTTTGTGAGGATTCTTCAACATGCACTTAATGTTAGTAGGAAACTTAAAGTACCCATACGAAGAATTACACAAACTTGTATATTGGATACATTAACATTATGCATTTTCAATTTTTTCTCTCTATAGTTCATTTTTTTCAGATAACCAATGCAGATACTCGATCTCTATCTACAGCTTCTGTCTTATGCTTCCATATAATGAATACATTCATATAATGCTTGCATTGGGGTAGTATGTTTACATCACAATCCTTAGGGTGCGGTCCTTCCCCGGACCTTGCTAACATGAGATGCTTTGTGCACCGGACTGTCCTTTTTGAATGCACAAGAGGTTCTTACAAGTTCTTGTCATGTTAATGAAAAGAGTAGACGAAAAGTTAGGTCCAAGTACTTCTTTTTCAAGTGCTAGCTCTTGGACTTGATGCTTATGGATAGAGGTGTCAAATGGGCATGTTGGGTTGAACTTGAAACTATCATTTTGTGCAGTATAGCTCTCAGAATCTGCAGACGACATTCACAGGTTAAAATCACATTTTGTGTCCGTCAATAACCCCACAATCTATGCAGTTTCCAAAACCTCTCTGATGACTTATATGCGTCCACAACAATTCAATAAATCAGGTCCCTTGAAAAGAAAACGAACAGTGCGAAAAGTAAAGCTTAAAATAATACGTGGAAATTTTCTTGCTCAAAGGAGGAGAAAACCACGACCTGTCTCACAATATTTCAATAACAACTCCATTACTTCAAAGAGCCAAGGTTCAGATTACAAAGTCTTGTAACCTAGGAATTAAACTCTTAATCCCTTCCCCTTTCGTAACAACACTGGTACCCACAAACAAAGCAATACCTTTATTGCCTACTAGACCAACACACCCAGTTAATGTAGACTTCAAGAACACGGCATAGCTAACTTTAGGTGCAGCTCAAATTTAATCAATGATTACAACTGAAATGATAAATTTCCTTTATAACATAGGAATATATCTTACATTGTATGAAAACAAGACAATTATATATATATACACACCTGAAGCCAAAAATTGGATTACCATTTTATCCTTTTTTAAAAATACTTTACCCTTTATTTAAAATAATACTAATAAATCAACTATATATTCTACATTAATGCTCACAATTATTATTAAACCTATAGACTTTTCTTTGCTGGCACATTGCTGCTTCAAGCCTTCAATTATAACTGATGAAGACCAAGGATACTCCCAACAATTAAGTACGGATTTGATGAGTCTTTTTTTATTTTTGACTAAAATATCTTACATGATTTGATTCTCTTCAACTTCTTATCTTTAATAATTTGATTCTCTTCAACTTTCCTTCCTTAGGCCCCTTATTTAAAGTCACATCGAAGAGCACTGAATTTACAAATCTCATTTTAACATTTTGCTCTAATATGCCAATTTCTCTCTGATTAAGAACCATTTTATCATTTCTCTTTCTTTATTTTTGCTTTTTTGGTTCCCTTTTCAGTAGATCTTGTAGGTACAGAAAAAAATATCATTGAGTTTTTTAGAATTGTTAGGGATAGTAGCATTAGTGTTGCATTTGGATCGAAGACGTCATAATATGTGGTAATATTGCTATTGATAAATAAAGAATGAATGTTTGGAATGAAATAAATTTTTATCACTATGTGTGGATTAAAATATATATATATATACATATATATTACTAAATGTGGAAACAACTCGAGCCAAAAGCTTTTTTTTTTCCAATTTTTTTTTATTCTCCCTAGGAGCTCCCACCCCTTTTTCTCCCTTGGTGACTCGAACTTGCAACCTTCGGGTCGGAAGTGAGGGTGCTTACCATCCGAGCAACTCCCTCTCGTCACTCAAGCCAAAAGTTGGATTACCATTTGACCCTTTCTTTAAAAATACTTTACACTTTATTTAAAATAGGGTAAAGGGTCAAATATGCCCCTAAATTATTCGAAAAGGTCTAGATATACCCTCCGTTTAAAGTTTGGCTCACTCGTGCCCTTGTCGTCCAACTTTTCGTCTAAATATGCCCTTATGGGCGTTAAATGCTAAATGGAATTGCCACGTCATTTTTACATTACCACGTGACATTTATATTAAAGGGAAAAAGGTCAAATATACCTCCCCCACAATTAACAAAACAAAA